ATATATATATATATATGTCGTCCTTGTGTGCCAGCCTGCATGCTAATCACGCTTTACCCTTCATGCATTATGGAGCTAAAATGTTGTATCATAATTTACAATCGTTCTCGCTCTAAACTCGACGTGCATTTATCGATCAAGTATCGCACGAATGATCGACGCCCAGCGCGAGCTGGCTAGATCTGCACATTTGATTGACACGTATCGCACGATTTTTGTCTGTCGCACATCACGCAAACGATATCGCTTTTTTAAATTGTTTGGCGCTCTCTCGAAATGCGGAACTCGAAACTCGAAACTCGCGTTCATTCTTTTTTTTTTTGGCGGGGGTGGGGGGTGAGAATTCTTTTCTCTCTCATCCTTTATCGAATGTAATACGTTCGAGTGTGTGCGTTTCGCGTTCCGCTCGCTCGCTGGGAGCCAACAGGAAGGATCTCTCTCACGATGGCCGTTTTTTTTGTTTTTCCTTTGCAGAGGAAACGTCTCGAGGATGTACGTAAGAGAAGGGGAAACTATCGATGAAACTTAGAACGAAGCAAAGAAGGACGGCTCTGCCCGCGACCTGCCGCGAAACTTTTTCAATAACTTGTCAAGCGTTCGCTAATCGAATGACTTCCGCGACAGTTTTCGTATTAAGGGCTCGTTACAGACCGCGCTTCAGGAGTTTCCAAGTTGCCTATTTAGACCTTACTTACTTACTTATTTTCTTTCTTTCTTTCTTTCTTTCTTTCTTTTCCTTTCTTTCTTTCCGCGAGAATCATCAAAGCGTCCAACCTGTCTCTTATAACTTGAAATACTTTTGTACGTTTTTCTTTCTCTTTGCTTTCTTTCCGTCACCCTTTGCTTTCTCACTGTCGCGACGGTAATGAGAATATTAAATATTCGCGAATGATATTTACGAGGCTCTTTCGGTTGAACGTTGCCTCGGGCCAGCTTGTCAGATAAGATATTTTAAGGGAGTTTCACACGGGAAATGTAGGAAAAGAAGAGGAAACAGGCGGAGACCGACAGAAAGAGGGCGGAGGTCCGCGCCCGCCTTGAGGAGGCTTCCAAAGCCAAGAAAGCGAAGAAGGGTTTCATGACCCCTGACAGGAAGAAGAAGCTTAGGGTAAGCTTACATTCCATTCTCCGGTAATATCTATCTCGCTGTATTTAATTGATCATCCGGATGGCATTTCACGACGTCCGCGTATTATTATTATCTCCCCTCGTAAAACGTTGACAATTTTCTGCATTTTTTTACTTTCTCACATTTCTCTCTCTGTAGTGAAGAAAAATTTCGTCCGTGGAAATTTTTAAAGTCTTTCAATTCCATTCCCTGCCGAGTCGGTAATATTCTGACAAAGTATTGTTCGTGTGTGCGCACCCTTAGCTGTTGCTGCGTAAGAAAGCCGCTGAGGAATTGAAGAAGGAACAGGAGAGAAAGGCCGCAGAGAGGAGGCGCATCATCGAGGAACGTTGCGGAAAGGCGAAGAACGTCGACGACGCCAGCGAAGGTATTTTGCACAATTTTTCAAAAAAAAAAAAAAAAAAGAAAACATTTTCATTTCTTTTTTTTTTCTTCACTTCTGTGTCACACCGTAACACGCGTGATTATTATCTCGATTCACCGGCGCGCCGTCAGACTGCTAACAACAAACTCGGTCAGGATCGAAGATCGAACAACACCCTCGTCGCCCGTCGCAGGTCTACAGAAATTTCCATTTTCTCTCTCTCTCTCTCTCTCTCTCTCTATTTCTATCTCTCTGTCTGACATCGACAGACATGGCGCGATCGAAGCACATTCGACTCGCCGTGACAGATGTCGCGTTCGTTCGAAATTTTTTCCGCTCGTCCTTGTTCACGCTGTGTGTGTTTTCAGACACATCTCTCTTCCCTTTTTTCCCCACACGAGCACGCAGGACGCATTTTGATGCTCGTCGAATTTCACGAATTCACATCCCCCCACCCCCCGGAGAGATTCTTCCACTCGTCGTAGATCGCAACACGTAGAACCGCCAAGCGTGTCTACGTGACGCTTTGATAGTCGCGCGCTGCTAATTCTGTTCGTAAAAAAAAAAAAAAAAATAAAGAACGCTCAGTAAACGTGAATACGACCGAATGAGTATGATGAAAATTCTGTTTCGAATTTTGTTTCACTTTGGTCCACACAGAAACCGTGAAGCGCGTGCTGCGCGAATACCACAATAGGATCATAGCGTTGGAGGATCAAAAGTTCGACTTCGAATATATTGTTAAGAA